CTTTCAAATTCGTGAACACTGTTCACTTTAATTCCAGGTCGATTTCCGCTCCTGCGGTTAAATTACCACACCTGCGGTCACCGCATCCGCGACCAAATGATCGCTTCTGCGATCTCACTTAAATCCCCAGGGACCGCTTCTGCGGTTTTAAACCGCACCTGCGGTTGCCGCTTGTGCGGACCCTTGTCCGCTTTTGCGGAAGAGTTCCAAGCCTCCCAGAACCGCTTTTGCGACCCCTTAGCCGCATCTGCGGAGCCGCTTATGCGGTCCCTTTTCCGCAGATGCGAAAATGACAGAATCAGCAACTTCAAACCTGCAACAAAACTCCGAATTCTCCGTTTAACCACCCGAATTCACTCCGAGGCCCCCGGGACCTCAACTAAAAACACCAATACATCCTAAAACCTCATTCAAACTTGTTCCCATCATCAAACCCCATCAAACAACGCTAAAACCATCAAATCACATCGAATTCAAGCCTAAGTTTCTTAAAAACTTCCGAATTACGCATTCGATCAAAAACCCAACCAAACGACGTCCGAATGACTTGAAATTTTGCACACACATCACAAATCACATATCGAAGCTACAGCAACTCTCGGAATTCCATTCCGACCCTCGGATCGAAATCTCACCTATCAACCGGAATCCGCCAAAATACTAACTTCGCCAATTCAAGCCTAATTCTACACCGGACCTCCAAAATCAATTTCGATCGCACTCCTAAGTCACAAATCATTTCCCGAAGCTAAACGAATCACCGAAAATCACATCCGAGCCTTCCAGCTCATAAGTCAACGTCCGGTTGACTTTTCCAACTTAAGCCTTCCTTAAAGAGACTAAGTGTCTCATTTCTTATCAAAACCAGTCCGAAACAACTCCAACACACCACATACCGATAATGAAACATGAAGAAGTAATAAATGAGGAAAACGGGGCAGTAATACCTGATACGACGGGTCGGGTCGTCACACATAACCCAAGGAGCTTTTTTCTTTCCCAAAATCCCGGCATAACCCGAGGATCTCCCTGGCATAACCCAAGGAGCTTTTTTTTTTTTTCTTTCCCAAATCCCGGCATAACCCAAGGAGCTTTTTCTTTCCAAAATCCCGGCATAACCCGAGGATCCCCCTGGCATAACCCAAGGGGCCTTTCTTTTCTTTCCAAATCCCGGCATAACCCGAGGATCTCCCTGGCATAACCCAAGGAGCTTTTTCTTCCCAAATCCCGGCATAACCCGTGGATCCCCCTGGGATAACCCATGGGGCTTTTTTTTTTTCCAAATCCCGGCATAACCAGAGGATCNGCTTCTCGAAAAATTACGAAATTTACATCACCGGATTCCTCGTCTCGCCACGAGTCCATACATATAAAATTTACCAAAATCGGAGTTCGTTTGACCCTCCAAATTCCATTTTTACATCATAATTTTCTCAAACCCTAACTTCCATTTTTAACTTTTAATTCCTTGGATTTTCAGTGTTAATCCATGATTTTACACCATAATATCATAATCTATGTCTAAAAATCCATACCTGATGATAGCCCTCGAAACCCTCTTCAAAAATTGCCCAAAATCTCCTTAGTCCGAAGTCCAAAATGTTTCTTCTCTTTCAAAATCGTGAAAACACTGTTCACTTAAACTCAGCCAGGTTTCGCTTCTGCGGTTGGGATACCGCACCTGCGGCTCCCGCTTCTGCGCAAAATAACCGCTTCTGCGGTCTAACTTAAAATCCTCAGGACCGCTTCTGCGATCACAGCTCCTCTTCTGCGGTCCAAGACCCGCAGAAGCGAGAATACCAGAAACAGCATGCCTTCAGCTGTATGAAATTCCAAAAACTCCCCGTTAGCCATCCGAAATCATCCCGAGGCCCCCGAGACCTCAACCAAAAGCACCAACATGACTTAAAACATTATCCAAACTTATTCCAATCATCAAAACACATCAAACAACACTAAAATTATCGATTCTCATCGGATTCAAGCCTAAGTTCTTTAAATACTTCCGAAACTCGCATTGGATCAAAAACCCAACCAAGCGACGTCCGACTGACCTGAAAATTTGCAGACATATCCAAAATCACCTAAAAGCTACTGCAACTCTCAAAATTCTATTCCGACCCTCGGATCAAAATCTCACATATCAACCGGATTTCGCCAAAATGCTAACTTCGCCAATTCAAGCCTAATTCTACACCGGACCTCCAAAACCAATTCAGATCACGCTCCCAAGTCACAAATCATCTCCCGAAGCTAACCGGATCACCGGAAATCACATCCGAACCTTCGAACTCATAAGTCAACGTCCGATTGACTTTTCTAATTTAAGCCTTCCTTAAAGAGACTAAGTGTCTCATTTCCTATCCAAACCAATTCAATTCAACTCTAACTCACTCGTTGCTGATAATGAAACATGAAGAAGCAATAAATGAGGAAAACAGAGCGGTAATACCTGATACGACGGGTCGGGTCGTTACAGTATTAATATTTTATATTATTAAAAATGTATATAATATTTTTTATACCATACTTGTAGAACTAATTTGGAAGACCATTACAAGAAGAGCAAGTCAACACTTCATATACCATTGGATTTTGGAATTGATCAAGTTAACTCAAAAAATTGGTTTTACCTTCTATCGTTTGACGGGAAGCTATGGGATGACAACGTAAGTTTTTCCCCTAACTGAATACTATTCTTTTAATAACAACATGCTGTATTATTCAGCTGTATTTTTCTTGTTTTCGGCTGTATTCAGCTGTTTTCATCTATAATCAGTTGAATTGAACTGTATAAATATGTTATAGTCAGCTGTATTCAATTGTTGTATTCAGCTTTATTCAGCTATATTCAGTTGAATTCAACTGTTTTAATCATCTGTATGCAGCTGTATTCAACTGCATTTCTCTATATTCAGCTTTATTCAACTTCTGTATTCAGCTGTATTTAAAATGGTCAGTTGAATTCAACTATTTTAATTAGCTGTAGTCAGCTGTATTCAACTGCATTTCTCTGTATTCAGCTGTAGACATTTGAATTCAACTGTTTTAATCAGCATTAGTCAGTTGTATTATTCAATATTATTCAGCTGTATTCAGCTATATTCAGTTGTATTCAACTGTTTTAATCAGATGTAGTAAGCTGTAGTCAGTTGTAGTCAACAGTTTTATTCACATATAGTCTGTTGTATTCAACTATATTTTTCATATGTATTTCTCTGTATTCAGCTATATTCTTTAATAGTTTGATTAATTGGACTCACACCATGTACTTAACTTTGTGTATAGCATATTGACATCATATTCTACTATTTGGGAAAGAAGGGAAAGTACAATCAAACAAGCAACTTCAAGTATACAACTGTTGATTGTATATTCAAGACAAGAATCGCTGAAATATTCGACAAGTATGCTGATACAGATAGTAAGCTAATGTAGCCAAAGAAGAGGATGTGGTATGTGAGTACATAAGGGGCTACAGATTGCATGCCAATGTACCTTGGCATACTGTGGATAATGTCTTGATACCAGTCAACTTGAAGGACAAACTACACTGGGTATTGGCTGTTGTCTCATTCAAGGAGAGATGTATCAAAGTGTATGACTCGTACAAATCTGCAGGTCATGATGCCTATGTAGCTTCTGAGATTGATAAGCTAGCTAAGCTTGTACCTCTGTATCTATCAATCAGTGGCTTTTACAGAAATAGTCAAGGCATAGATTGGTCTACTTACTCAGCATACACTAACAAGTCACATAATGATCCCTTTGAAGTTTTCTTCATATCAGATCTGCCTCAACAGAAAGCTGGGAGCATGTAAGTATTCAATCATCATTCTTGTATGTTATATACAAATCTAATTGTATGAATTATTTTTAATTGTTTCAATCAATTATTTTTTAGGGATTGTGGGGTGCATGTTGCAGCATACGTAGAGTTTCTGAGCACTCTTGGAGAGATTCCACAAACAACATTTGATTCCACTCTACTCCGTCAAAGATATGATGCTCTCCTCTGGGACTATGCTATGCGGAAGATAGACGCTGATGCCATAAGCGAGAATGAAGCACCTTCAAAGATTGCTAGGCAAATCACGGAGTCAGATTCAAAAATGCAGATAGTGTTAGAGTAGCTTTAGGTTTTGTGGTTTTGGAGTGTAGTTTCAAGAAGAATACTGTTTTGAGTTGTTTCTGGTGTAGATGGTATTTAGTTTGAAAAACTTATCACTTTATCAACAGTGTTCGTGTATGACAATTGCAACTTTTCAATCGCTGTTTCACTGGTTTGTTCATAAGTATTCATGCTTATTCTTCAGTTTGTATTCATATTTATCTTACAGGATTCAAGTATGTATTAATACCAAGTAACTTTACTTGAACGGGTTTTAGGCAGTGAACATGTTAATGTCAAAGTCCAAAACTTTATGTATGCAGATGGTAGGTTATATAAAAGAATTCAGATGTATTTTTTTCTGAATTCAGTTATATTTAGTTGTATTTATCTGTCAAATTCAGTTGTATTCAGCAGCATTCATTCAGATGTATCTTTCAAGTTCAGTTAATACATATTAAAGAATACAAATTTAGCTGTATTAAACAGGTTTTACGTAGTTAGTTGTATTCAGCTGTACACAGTTGTATTCAGCTGTTTTATTCAGTAGTAGTTAGATGTATTCAAGTGTATTATTCAGCTGTATTCAGTTGTATTTTGGTGTATTCATTTACATTCAGTGCTACTCAACTGTATTATTCATAAAAATACAACAGTTGTATCCAGTTGTATTTTTTAGTATTCATCTATACTCAGTTCTACTAAACTGTATAGTTCATATATATTTATCTGTACAAAAATACTTCAACTATATGTATTCAGAAACTATTCACGAAAGTCATTTCAGAATATATTACTTGACAATGTCATCATAAGTATTGAAAAATCGTTGAAGCACCAATACATGTCAGAGTGTTAACTATTTATTACGTGGAGCATTCCTACACGTTCACTTGTTATGTCCTCCCTGCCCACATATGCTACATGAATGTTGATTTTTCGGCTGCAGCAATTCGCTTAAAGTTTTATCGCGCTTCTTCTTTGGCCTTCCGGGAGGTCTTTTCCATTTGGGTGGTAGTACAACCTCCTCTGCAACATGTTCTGGTATATTCCAGTCATTTCTGTCTGATGGCGGGTACACTGGCACATCGTATGTCATTACAATTGTATTTGATTTGTAATAGTTAGAGCAATATTCTTCTGGCATTAGAAACTTGCTCTTCAATACAACCCAAGCATGTGGGCATGGTAATTCATCAACTTGGAACCTCCCACAAACACATTTTCTCTCTAACAGGCTGACTGTATAATTCCTCCCACCATCGTTAATCGTATGTAAGTATTTAGTTGATGGTACCACCTACATTTAAAAATAGAAATATAAGTTTTGAGCACATATAACTGAATTACCAAATGTATAATGCTGAATTAATAAGTTACATACAACTGAAATATTTGCATATAGAGAATACATCATATATTTAGACCAGCAGAATATCAACTGTAATTAGTGCAGAACTTATCAAAAGTCTGCTGTACTTTAGGCAACAGGATGCTAACAAAAGCATTAGAATCATACGTATTGACAATACATATTAAAGTTACATATAATACAGCTTTGTTAGTTGTATTCCGATGTATTCGAATAGTTTTTGCAGCATGTTTTTAGTTATATTAAGTTGTATTCATATCAGATCTATGGAAAAATATGTCTTTTATGTGTTTGAATATAGTTGTATTCATATGTATTAATGGTAGTTCTACTTAAAAAATGATTGTATTCAGTTGTATCCATGCCATTAATTCATAAAACAATAAAGCTATATACAACAAATCCATTAAAATATAATTTACAGTCATACGTGTAGACATTGCCTCATTCAAAGTCAGCATCTCCTGGTATTATTTTTCCAAGCGTCGTGTATGTCTGTGTAGCTTCTTTGCGGTTACTACAATTCCAATGTCCAAACATCTTCCTAACTTCTTCAAGGAAGTCGTATATTGGCAATTCCCTTGCTGAAACTAGTGCGACATTGATTGACTCAGCAATATTTGACGTCATTGTCCATCCCCTGTTAACAGGTGCATACAACCTAGCCCACTTTTCGTAACCAGCTAACTCTAAGTATTCTTTGTCACGACCCGGATTTCCCACCATCGGGGGTCGTGATGGCGCCTACTATCGGAGCTAGGCAAACCAAGCATTTAAACATTTTCTGATAACATCCCAACAATAATAATAATACGAGTCATTTAAATAAAAGCGGAAGTCTTTAAAACATAGATAACTGATAACCCAAAATGCAGAAGTTTAATATTTCTCTACCCAAGACTGGTGTCGCTAACTCACGAACTACTAAAGAGTGCTAAAAACAAGTCCGAATAGAAATACACCAATGCTTGTCTCGGTACAAGGAAAACAAACTATAACATAGAAGGGACTCTGGCCTGCGAACGCCAGCTAGGCTACCTCGTAAGTACCTGGACTGAAGTCAGCTCCCAATCAACTACTGCTGTGGTCCAAAAGCTGCTCCGGTACCGTGATCTGTGCAAAAGAGCACAGAAGTGTAGCATCAGCACAACCGACCCCATGTGCTGGTAAGTGCCTGGACTAACCCCGGTGAAGTAGTGACGAGGCTAGACAGGACTACCAAACCAACCTGTGCAGTTCAATATATATATATGCAGTAAAAGGAAAGAACAAAGAAATTAAACAGTTAAGAGGGAGGGGAGCATACTATGGGGGAAATACAATCCGGATATAAAGTCAACAATTTAAGTAAGCAACAGGGCAATAACAATAATTAATGAGAGCAGAAAAGTCAACAGTTGCACGGCATCAACTTTCGTGCTTTTACTCTCATCCTCACCAAAAGTAATCAAGTAAAGTGCACGGCATCAACCTTCGTGCTTTCCCTCTCATACTCTCAAATCATGGCACGGAATGACCCTTCGTGCAAATATAATCAAAACATGACACGGAATGACCCTTCGTGCAAATATAATCAAAACATGGCACGGAATGACCCTTCGTGCAAATATAATCACTCTTCCTCATCCAAACAGTAATCACAACCAAACGGGGCGAGGGGATAAACAAATAATAAGAAATATCCCGACAAGGGAATTACACAATTAACAGCTAAATCCCGGCAAGGGAGCAACAACAATACTTTCACATCCCGGCAAGGGAGATAATCAATATACTCAAACCATCCCGGCAAGGGATTTAATCATATCACTTTCTATTTCTTTCATTTCTTACTCAATAGTCTTTTTATCATTCGAGCCAACGCTCCAAAGAATTTACAACTCATAATTAGTCCTCATACTCTTCACATTGCATAGAATTCATCAATTAACATGGAAGAGTCATAACAATATCAGGATAAATACATACAAGGACCCACGGTCATGCTAGACACCGGTGTATAGATGCTCGTCACCATGCCTATACACCGTACTCGATCATTTAGCAATTAGCAAATAATAACACTCTAATCCTATTCCTTCAAGCCAAAGTTAGATCAAACACTTACCTCGGTCCAAAGAATAGCAATCAATCCTCAAATACCGCCTTTCCTCTACAATCCGACTCCGAAATAATGATATCTAGGTATAATTAATTCAATAATATCAATAAAGACTTAATGGCAACATCCCATAGCCTAGATATGAATTTCCTAGCATTCTTCCAAAAATATCAAAATTCGACACCGGGCCCACATGGTCCAAACACGAGGCTCGGACCAAAACCTAGTCACCCATAACCCCACGAGTTCAAATATGCAATTTGTTTTAAGATTCGACCTCGAATTTAGGTTGAATCACCCAAAATTCTCAAAACCCTAACTCTACCCAAAACCCCTAATTTCTACTTTGATTTCATGTTTTTAGGCCTAGGAATTCACTAATTAATGAAGAAAAACGAAGGAATTAGGTGGGGAATTACTTACCCAAGAAGCTTTGGTGAAGAATCACTTTAAAAGTCACCTAGGGGCTGTAGAGAAGAAGAGCTCGTGTGAAATTTGGGAATAATCCCGTCACTGGTCTGTTTTTGAGCTTTAAAAATCACTAGGCAAAAATTCCCTTCGCGTTCGCGGGAAGGGGGCCGCGTTCGCGAAGGGTAGATGAGTCAAAGCATCGCGAACGCGAGATGCTAGTCGCGAACGCATAGAAGGATGGGTCCTGGTCCGGGATTTGCTTGTACACGAACGCGAGATGGGGCTCGCGAATTCGGTGAAGGAGAAACCAAGGCTACGCGAACGCGGGGACTTGTCCGCGAACGCGAAGAAGGGAAAGCCCACTGGTACGCGAACGCGAGCTGAGTGCTGCGAACGCGAAGAAGCAATTATCTGAGCAAAAATTGCAGAAAAATCTGCTATAATTCTAAGTTTAAAAACACCCCGAACACCTCCGAAAACACTCCCGAGCCCTCGGGGCTCCTAACCAATCAAACACACTAACTCAACAACATCCTACGAACTTAACCGTGCGATCAAATCGCCAAAATAACATCATAAACGAGGAATCAAACCTCAAAATCATCACTTTTTCATCAAATATCATAAACTTCAAATTTTAGATATTTAGGTCCGAAACACGTCAAATGACGTCTGATTTTGACCAAATTCCACAGAAAGCGCTTAAACCATATATAAGACTTGTACCGGGCGTCAGAACCAAAATACGAGCCCGATACCACAGTCTTTTAATCAATTTTCATTTCCATTTTCCTTAATAATTTCAGAAAAACAATTTCACAGAAAAATTCTTTTCTCGGGCTCTAGACCTNCCTTGATTTAAACTCCTCCGGATATAGATCTTTTTCGATAGTTGTTATGCACAAAGGATACATCCCAAATTCTCTGTTCTCTTTTTTCAATTCTACATACACTCTGTAACCCATATCATTGTGTATTTCCATTGGCGTGCAATTTCCTTCTACTTTGTATTGTATTTTAATGGTCTTTGAGCTCAAATCTATACCCAGTTGATTAGAAATTGAAGCAACCAGATCATTAAAGGAGGCATACTCCTTTATCAGTATTTCCTCAATTGAAAAATCGATGTAATTGCCCTCATCGTTCCACTTGCCAGAATGACGCAACAAAACTGTTAAACTTGCCATATGTATAGAGGAACTATACCTTATTTTGTATAAAATTTGTATCAATCGAGAAACAGGAGAAGAGAATGGAAGAAGTTCGATCAGATGTTGCTCTGGTTTTTCGCTGTATTCACGTTTCTGGGTTGATTTGTTTGAGCTGAATACAGATTAATGTGTACTAGTTTTAGTTCATTGAGTTAAATTAGGAGAATATCATGTGATTTGATTTCCTTCCGTTTTTAACCAGTTTAACCTTCTAGATTTTGCGCAGATACGTTACTGTATTTCACGTTAATGCCGCTTGAGTACAGCTAAATACATATCAAACTTAGCTGGAATTCCCTTTTTAACGCCTATTTTTTAGTTGTATTAATGAATACAACAGCTTAAATACATGAGAATACATTTTATAAAATCATAAAAGGTATCTATAACACGTAATATAGCAAAGGGTATCTATAAATAGCTAATTAGACCTAAAAGATGGTGCTTTATGAAAATCCTCTAATTAATATTATATTAATATTACAGAAAATGAAGCGCAAGAGAGATGGGTGTAAATTTATTTGTAATTAATATTATATGGTTGTTTGGTAAGATATATTAGAAAAAAATAATATTTCATTCGATTCACTTTAATTGATTTTTTGACTTTTTTTTAAGTCCACAATATTTAATTTTTTAAAATATCAAGAAATTTTTTTTTCAAAGCTGTCTTTGGAATAAAGAGCATATGCAAATTTGTTATATTTTCAATAAACAAATTAAGGTTAATATATTCAATTTCATTGTTAATTACTGTTAAAAGGTGATTTCCTTAATATGTTTGAAAACAATCAAAAAATTAATTAAAGAGGATCGGAGGGAGCGTATGTATAAACTTTTGTATTATTAATTTCTTTTTTGGTAATATTTTTCAACTTATATATAACAAATACTTTTATTAGTTATATATCCTATTAAGTACTATTCTTGTATATATCATGACATTAGCAATACCATAATTTTAATATATTGATAGACATATATAAAAAATCACAGTCATTTCAAAATCTCTAATACACTAAATCAAACAGTCGATAAAAAATTAATCCTGGCATAACTAATTCCTGCATTACTAATACACCATATGCAGTATTATTCTTATACATCCTATCAAGCGACCATAAGTCCACTAGTATAAGACTATGTCTTGCATATAATACTTAACTATTATTAAATGACATACATTTTCTTTTCGATTTACACACACTATGCACAAGGAGTATAATATTGTTATTTTATTAGGAGAAAAGGAAGCGCACGAGAGATATGGTCCATTTTTGGATTCCTCTATCTATGCTTGAGATGAAGATCCCTTTTTTCTTTGTTAATATGCCATTGTGTTCCCCACTAACCCTCTTTTGATTGAATTACTATTTTACCCCTGTACGATGTTTTCATATTAATAGGTCACTCTTCGTGTTGTGTACTTGTGTCAGTGTGGTTCCCCACTAACTTGATGATGATCATTGTTTTGATAGAAAAACGTTCAAATTTGAAATTGTTTTACTTTATTATTCGTGAGATATTTGGGTTATTCATATTCTTATCGTTAATAAATTATCTTGTCTTTGTTGTTACCATTAATAAAATGGAAAAGGGTTCAAAATGCCCCTAAGTTATTGGAGAAGGTTTAAAAATACTCTTCATTCACCTATTGAACTAAAAATACCTCCCCCCCAATCCACTTTTTTGGTTCACTTATGCCCTTTAACTGTTAGGTCAATGCTGAATTAAAAATAATTTTTATTCTTTTTGTAAAAAAAGTATTTTGCAAAATATTTTTTTTAAAACTAATGCACCGTTAGTCCACTAATTTAGTAGTCTTTTTTTTTAGTTTTACAAAAAACAATTCAGTTTTTAGAAAAAAATATATCTTTTTTCATTTTTTCAGTTTTTTAAAGCTTTTT